TAATAATATTAACAATAATATTAATAATAATAGTAATAATAATAATATATTAATAATAACAATAATAAGCATTAATAATATTAAGTAATAATAACATTAAATTACAATAACAATAATATTTCCTAGTACCGAAAAGTAATCCCAACAAACAATACCACTAGACAACACATCAACACTACCAATCACCACCACCCAACCAACCAACCAACCACGCACCACCACTACAAGTCGCAACAATGACTGCGCACGCCAGCCGCCGCTTATTTATAACGCCACGCGAGCGCGCGCAACAACTTTCGCGCGCATTTCGCCCCAATGCTCTCTACTTAATCAAACGCTCTGATCTCACAATATCACCCCAAAAAAACCATAAAACTCCAAAAACAGCGGTAATAAAAAACCTTAAAAACCTGAAATCCGTAAATTAACGGTAACAAAAAACCGAAAAAACCTCAGCTCGGTAAAAAATAACCTTCAAACCGTTCAGTTCATATTTGCCATTTTCCCACCTCATAGCTGTTATTTTCCAACTCCAGAAACCGGTAAAAAGCGGTAATAAAAAACCGAAAAAACCTCAACTCGGTAAAAAATAACCTTCAAGTCATTCAATTCATATTTATTGTTCTCCAGTTCCTGCAGTGCATTCACACGACCGTCCTCGGCCTGTCTGTGTGCATTCGATAGATCTTCGATGGCCGTATTGAATTCGTCCGTTTTACGTCGCATCTGCTCGGCTCCGAACTGGAGCTCTTGCTGGAGCTTAGTGAGCTCCGCCCGGAGCGCTTTGCGAGCCGTTTCTGAGTTCATTAGCTGCAAATTAAACACCAATAATTACTCCAATAATATAACATATATAAATAATAATAATTATATATACAATAAAAATATAATAATAACAAATAATAATAATAAACAATACATTTTATCACTGATATTACATATAATAATTTCATCAACTGCAATTCAAATAATAATAATTACTTCAATAATTTAATAAGCACATACACATAATAATAATAATATATACAATAATAATATATAATAAATAATAATAATAAATAATATATACAATAATAATATATAATAAATAATAATAATAATAAATAATAAAAAATAAAACCTTATCAGTAGCCTCCTGCAGCTCCAACCGCATTCGGTTCATTCTCGTGTCAAATGTTTCAGCCAGTTCTTTCAGTTGATCCAGCTGCTTCGATTTCTCGCGATACGCCTTCTCCAGTCGATCTCTCTTTAATATTCAATAATATTAATAATATATATATAATAATAAATAATATATATAATAACAATAATAAATATCATATATAATAATAATATACAATAATAAATATAATAAATATTATCTCATACCTCTTCTCTAACGATTTGCAGCTCTTCGGCCTTCTCCTTGGCTGCGGCAGTGACATATTGCAGTTTCTTTTTGAGACGTTCGATTTCGCATTCGTTTGAGGCGTTCGTTGACTGAATTTTAATTACATTAATTCTAATTAATACTTAATTAGCTGGTTTATCTTCTTAAAACCTGGATTAGCCACAAAAGTTGGTTCGCGAAAAATCCACG